TACGCCCCACGTTGGGCGCCAGTAACAAATCCCGTGTTTCGATATAAAATGTAAATATTTATTAAGCTCAACTGAGCACTTGAGTTTCCAATTTAGAACTGCTTTAAACATAGTTCAGCTCCTGACAACATAACCCATGGCTCGCGGCAGCGCCGGAGTATAGCCCATGGCTCGTGGCAGAGCCGGCAGCAGAACGCTGACTTGGCGCCTCGTGACCGTTCTTGCGGCGATCACTCGACGCAGGCATGCGGGTGTCAGGTTCCGTTGGCAACTTAGTTGCACAAGCGTCCGGTCCAATGACCTGGTCAGCACAATTTGTCTTGCGCGTGTTAACATTTTACAATTAGACATATATATATATATATATATATATATATAATTTTTTTTTTTACGGAAATATGTGATATAAATCTATTTTAATTTTTTAGTTTCTTTCTAAATTCATTATAGACTGATTTACGAAAGGAAAATTTGAGTTAGTTAGGGCATACGGTTGGCTGACAATTTTTATTTATACAATTAATAGTCCAACCGTATGTGTTAGTAAAAGCCTAACAGATTTTAGTATTTTTCAAGTAGCGCTTTCGCGCATCGGCTTGAATTAGAATTTATATTTAAAGGCAATTTAGGCATTGGCAGTTTTGCAGCCCTTATTGCGTTGCTTCGCACCAGTACGAAGTTGTTTCTCGATGATTTCGAGATTCTTTAATTGTTCCTTTTTCTCCTGGGGCGTTGTCGCTGTCTTGATGAGATCCTGTAGGAGTCTTCTCTGCTGAAGCAGTTTGAGTTCGTCATTTAGTTTCACTGCAGTGTCCCATGGGAGGGGATTTTTGCATTTATAAAGGAGTCTTACGATTTCAGACTTTCTCCGTCTGATTCGCTCCTTAATGCCACTGCGTCTTGGCTTATTTTTTGCCTTAGAACTCATGCCCTGTACTCACTCAGTATATAAAAGTTGCCGTCTTGCGCTATTAAGGGAAGCACAGTCGGCCGATGTAAACGATATCTTCTTACGATGATCACTTTGGGAGTTTCACTTCACTCTCGTATCGCTGGCCTTGTGGCTCAGTGATTGTATCAATAATAAGAAAGTATTTTATAACGGCAAAGCCGCAGCAATGTATGTTTGTTGTCAAACCGAATGTACAGAACTGAATTGTGGTATAAAATTAAATTGGAATTATACCTAAAACTTGGATCTATAAACTACAAAACTCATGTGTCAGTGGAATATGCTTGCTTGTAAATGGGTCAATATAAGTATTGTGCAAGTTTCTTAAACAACGTTATTTTGGTGCAATTCTTAGCCGTTAGCCGATCAGATAAAATGTTCGGGCTTACAATGTTTGCTTTTGCTAATGATATTGCAAGCATTAAATTTTGCAATTCCATCATCAGCATCCTATTTCTAGCCAATAGCGTTTCATACAAGTGTTCAGTGTTTACTTGTGTGTTTTTCGCGGCCTTGAGAACTTGGTCTTGTACTTTAGAATTAATCTCTATTTGTCTATTGTTTTCATGTATTAGTTGTTGTTCTGTAAATCTTATTCTTTCTAAATCGTTGGCAACCGGAGTGCCTGCTACTACTTTCAGCAACTCCAAACTTCTAGCCACCCTATGGTCTACGCCCAACGCTTCCAGCAGGTCCTGCAGGTGAGCTGTGTCCACCTTTAGGAGCTTCTTCATGTGAGATTGTGGGAACATGTCAAGCAAACTGACCGTTTCCTCCACCACACGTGCATATTCTGAAAGATTCGCCGAGTGTTTAATGTAGGCGAAATCCTCCCACACCAGGATTCGTCCATCCACTATCGGGATGTACCTAGCGTTTGAATAATCGGTGACGCGCGCCGAAGCCAGGGACAGGGACATGATGAGAATTAGTTCAAACCTGTGGAATGGGAATTTTAGCTATTTTTGTGTTTTAATATTGTTAAACCACCACCACCAGAACTTAAACTGAGGGCACACGCTAATATCTAAGTCATATAATTAATTGGAAGAAGCGAGCCAAGCGGCTAAACAGATTGGTATTATAAGAAAAAACTTCAAGGGCCTTATTCTCGTGGTGATTACCTCAAGTTGTCCTTGTGGACCACCCTCCCTTTAATGAGGACCTCGGTCCCCAGGTCTGCTTCAACGGCCTTCTCATCACATAAAGGTGCGAGTTTGTTCCCGAGCTTTCGGTTGGACTTGACCAAAACTTTGTCACCAACGTCGAAGACCCTATTCTGCCGTTTGGCGTTCTCCCTAGCCCTGAGCGCCGTCTGGGCGTCTCTGATCCTGTTTTGTATGTTCTCTTGTGGCTCGTCTGGGTGCGCCTGGACCACGTCAACTAGTATTTTGTCGATGACCGAATGGATCGACTTATTGTATTCACTTGTAGCCAGTAAAATGATTTCTACGCTGTCACTTATAGCTTTATCGATCTTTAGGCATCTGGCTAGCTCTAATAGAGTGCTGTGAAAGCGCTTAACCTGTCCATTCGAGATTCTATGCAATGGTGGTGCATTTAAAATGCTGACCCCATAGTTGTTTGCGAGCATAGTCACGATGGTCTCTGAATTCAATGACGGTTCATTGTCACAGTAAATGGATCTGGCTTTTGGAAAGAAATTCATTAGTTGCATTATATTTGGGGTTTGTTATTCTTAATATATACTTGGGTCCTTGATTTATATATGAACTTATAGTTTAGTTAACGCTATTCATTAACTTTATAAGGTTTGTATTTTGAGTTTATATTTGAAATTTGTTTTTTTTTTCATTTTGTATTTACGCCCGTGGGCTGAGAGAAATTTAATATTAATTCGGTTTTCACTGAATGTACATTTTGCCGGTCGACTCAATTGTCGTCGGGCATTACAATAGTTTTACAAATATTTTAATAATAATTATAATTATAATCTTTTTTTGCTGTGCGCCCTCTGTGGCGCTGTCGGTCAGTTCAACCTTGGTGTTTTACAAGGGGCGGTCTGCCTCTCGTACTTCTTCTTGTTCCAGCGTTGGTACAAGAGGGCGGTTTGCGGTCCCTCGCAGTCTGCTGGGCATTCACGTTGCCTACTCGGGATCGGTTGTGGCTGTGGTCGATGTGTGCCTGGATTAATAAGTTTTTGCTCTGAGGGACAGGGGGGGCTTGTTTGTCTTAATTGCAACAATGTGTTGCTGCTATTTGCATGCTTACATAAAATGTTATGTACAGTATGCCTTCTCTATATGTAACTCATATGTGCATACTACAGTATTTATAACTATTTGTTGTATCTTCAGTAAATTTAACTATTGCATTGCTTTGCATTTACGTTAACAAGTTTTTCTACCTATTGGCTTGTATAGCTTTACGGGCTATACTTCTAATTGAGCGGAGATTGTTCCGCACAATTTTGCAAATTTTATTATAATAATGTTAACTGTTGCTCCAAATGTCCAGTTGTCCTCCGCATCAGCTGGTCGTCGCCGGCTTGGCTACGCTGACGCTCCTCCGTAGGCGAAAGTGGCGGAGTGCCCCTTGCGCTGTTGCCTTCACTGCTGCTGATGTCCGTGGCCTATTGGCTCAGGCGGGGCCGGTGCCGGTCTTCGCACTGGTCTTTGGTCCCAAGCATGTGAATTTGCATGCTGGAGCGTATAGTGGTCCAGGGCAGTCGTTCGGGCAGACGTTAGGTTTTTTTCAGCAACGGCTTTGGAGCTGGTGGTGTTTTCATTAGTTTTTCATTTATAACTTTGATATTTGCTGAGTGAGTTGCGGTATTTGGCTTTCTTTGCTGGAGGCTTTCTCTCAGAAAATCAAGTTCGCCAGTTAATTTTAGTGCCGTTGCCCATGTGGGCGGCGTATTCGTGTATAAAAGCCACTTAATGTGTGCTATTCTTTTGTTTATTTTGTTTTTTCTGGCCTCCGCGTTTGCGGATTGCTCTCACTCAAATGGACGGATTGCCTCTCACACTTGTTGACTGCTGGCCATCACTTGTAACACTTTTCATAGTTGTTGTTGTGTGTTTTTTGTTACTGCCGTTGCTGCTGTCCTTCCATGTCCAGGTCTGTTTTGACCTTAGTCACGGTCGCCATGTAATAGTTAATATTATCGATTCCAAATAGTTCAACACACGGGCACGTCTGTGCCGTTTTTTCTTTAGCTTTTTGAATGTCCTTATTCAATATATTCTTGTGGCTAAGACCACATAGCTGCCGGTTACGCCAGCAGCGGGGCGGCTTCATACATATTTTGTCTTATCAGCATAATCGGGAGAGAGAGAGTCTTAGGTACAAATTATTATTAAGAGCGGTCTCCCACGTTGTATTGTTCGGTGAGTATGCGTGTGACTTCCGCGCTGTTCTCCTTGATATATGCAAATCAATGTGAATGTGGTTATACTACTCCTGATGTCCCACGCAGCAGTCATATACTGTGTTGCATTCAGGGAAGATTACGTTGGGTTAAGGGTTAACTGACCCTCTATTGCTAGTCTTTGGCTTAGACAGTAATAACAATGCGCTTCACATAAAATCTGAATATGACAAACAAGAGTGCTTAGCTCTAGACCCAAGTCTGGCACTCGCAACGCGCCACAATGTCATGGTCGGCAAGCCGACTCAGCATAATCATAGGCAATAAGCGGAAGACTCTTGCGACATAAACAAAAGTGTTCGATTACCGCCTCTGACCATTGCAGCTACAAAGTCCGGACAATTATGCTGACACTTGGACTTTCCGTTAGCCAGCCAAAGTATACAGAGACCGGCTCGGATTTCGGCCACTTGTTGCTGTTGCTGTTATCTAACAGTTCTGGCTAACAGTAACATCTTAACAGAACGCATGGGGTCGAGCACAGTGCCAGATCTTGCATTCTCATGTTTTCTCATCAAAAACTTCTGATAATATCTTTAAATTAAAATACATAAATTAACACAATTGGTGACAAATTTGTTTTTAAACACATAGTTATTAACCCCTAGTTGCGCACTACGCTCTCTTTTAACATACAAGTTTGGATATTTCTTTTAGTCTTCTCTTCGGCTATAACGTCTATCGACTATCGAATCCGATTGAAACGCGTGGATTCCGTTTGTTAGTCTGTTGCGTGGAACCTGTGGAGCCCGTGTCAATGCGTTGGATTCTCTGCTAGCTAAAGGCTGAGGCTGATGCTGTAACTGTAAACACTGGGATATTTTACTTTTATGTCTGCTCGTGTGCATGTGCGTGTGTGTGTGTGTGTGTTTGTGTGTTTGTGTGTGCTTCTTTTTAGGGGCGCACAAAAAGCGCTCGTTTAATTAAACAAACATTGAAAACGGTTAATAGTTCGCTTTGATATGCACACACACACACACACACACACTGAAACACAAGAATAACAAACAGACACGCTCACACACAGACACAGACACACATATAATCAAAAGTTCAACGTAATGAAAACTGATCAAGGTTAAATGGCTCAAAGCAACAACAAATATAAATAGAAGCAATAACCGAAAGCATAGACACAAAACAGACAGAGAAGATGCCAAAAGAAGAAAGCGCGTTTAATTAACCGGACGCAGCACACACAAACACACACACACGCAAACGCAATGTACAGTTAGTTAGTTAGCAAAGTGACGTTGCCAGATCTGCTCGCCAATTGGCAAGCTGCTAAACTCAACGAAAGCACACACACACACACACACACACACGCACACAAGTATGCAGCGTTGCCACACTGGCGTGCTGATCTTTGCAGCTCTAAACGACTTGCAAATGCACTTTCCCCCCACACAATGTATTTTCTTTTAATTTTACAAAAACGCAGAAACTAAAAAAAGTACAATTATCCGATTTTTTTTTTTTTTAATATATATTAATTTATTTACTTTTTTTTTTATAATTATAGTGCGTTTAACGCATGCCGTACACAAAAAGAGAAAAAAAAGCGTTTCGAAAACCAACAAAAAAAGAAATTATGGCAAAATTGTCTGAGAAAATGAATGTTTAATTAAACATCAATCATAGATGTTCAAGCACATTGTATTATGATAGCTATTATGTAAGTATAGTACTTCCAAAGTGTTCAGGCCAAAAGTAATTTTTCCCTCGAATTAATCCCCGTTTGTTATGTAGCATATGTCCTAAATTTGCATATAAGTGTATTTAATATTTAAGTGTATATGTAATTTATTATTATTATTTTATTTCTTGTTTTGTATACAACGAATATGAAATTTCAACTGACTGAGGCAAAGGCAGCGAATACATTTTTACCTATATGTTCTTTTTTTTTTTATAGAGTATTTAATCATAAGTAGCAGGCATACTATTTTTTGATACTACATACAACAACAGTCAACGTATATTTGTATATAACTATATTATATATATTTAAATATTGTAATTGAACAATTGAAATTGATGTATGACATTTCATAGCTATAGACTCTTACCACAGCTAATATACACCTTACTCGAGTAAACATATATCTTATGGATGTAACTGTTTAACGAATATTGCCCAAGTCGAATATTTAAGTGCATAGTTTGTACATAAATAGTTATATTTATATATATATATATATTTTTGAATCTTTAAGGGAACATTTTACCCAAGTATTCAAGAAACAGCTCGAACAATTGAAATTGAAAAAGTCTGCAGTTCCTTTGGCGAATTTGTTTAGTCCAAGCGAAAAATTGAGGAAAATTCATAAGATATATAATGGGAAGTAAATTGCGATTTACATATACATATGCGCATTTTTCTTCTTCTTATATTTTTTTTTCGAATATCTTTTATGAATTATTTATGGAGCGTACCCAATCATTTTTCAAGGCGTGTGCGCTGTTTTTTTATTTTCCAAATTTATTGCGCACAACATTTTTATATATAAACAGGCGGAAAAATTGTCGGAAAAGGGGCAATTAAACGAAATCGAAAACTCAAAACCGAAAACTGAAAACTCAGCAAACAATTTTTTGTGCAGCTAGCATATACATATATATAGATATATAAATTAAATAGCCGTACGTATGTGTATTATCTAGTATATTGTATTTGTGCATAAAAGTGATGACTAACTAACTAGCACAGGCAACTAACTAGCACAGGCAACTATATCATGTATTTATACTTATTATTTATATGCCTATCATTGCAAAAACCATCCAACAAATAAATGCCTATATTTAAAAAAAATAAATAAATAAATAAAATTACCCCTAAGCAAAAGGTTTTCTGTATTTCAACAATTTAGCCCAATTTCTTGTTATTTTTTTGGTGCCTTGAGCTGGAATTTGTCATCTTTTGTATGGAAATGAGCTCGGCAGGTGTGGCAATTATTGTGACGTAATTAAACTTTATGGCATGCCCGAAGTGCGGCGAGTGCAAAAACCGGTTAAAAAGCGCTTCAAATGCTTCAACAACGGACATCATTTATATAAATAAAAATCATTGCACCACATGCAAAACCCAGTTCGTTTGCACAAACTCCAAATACCCTCACCTTCTTCTATAGCTAGCTTACGATCTAAAAGTTCTTTGGATTAGGGGCCAAGTTCCGTTATCATGGCCAGTAGGTAAATCCTGGCAGGGAACACGCGGTACATCGACAACTTATAAACATTCAAATATCCATAGGCATATTTGAGTTTAAGTCGAGGTGAGTAAATCCCATCAAACAGTTTAATATTATATGTATTTAGCATGCGGCTTCTTCTTTTACAGAACCAAGTCCCAAGGAAATAGCTTCAAGGTGAGTCTCACATGGAATGTACATGAATTACATTTTCATATTAGTATATATTTAGGTATTTGTTAATAGATAAGTTCTTTAGGACTTTCAAGCTTGCCTCCAAACGTTATACAAAGTAGAGATACCCACTAAAAGTAGGGTATAGCTAGTAGCACAATCAGCGTTAAATGTACTGTGGGAATAGCAAGCTCTCCATGAAGTAACCCGATAATATATAGCTGTTACTATAAGGCTCAAACCTACGAAATCACCTCGTTCCCAGCGTATGACACAAGTGGATGCTTATTAAGAGATTACGAGTTACAAACTCTCGGTTCATTATATATATATGTATATATATATATATACCATGCAATTAAGAACTCTTTAGTTCTTACTGGATGGACTTAAAAAACTGTCGCCTTGATACCGTAATAAAATTATAAAGAAAGCTGTAGAACACAAGGGTATACCTATATGAAAACCGTCTGGCACGATAAAAATACATATACCTGGATATATCTATAACATAAAAACATAATATATGTACACACATATATATATATATATATATTCATAAACACCTTAAGGCTTCAAAAATGCTGTAATACAAAAGAAAGCAAGAGTATAAAACGATCCGTATATGTATATCTAAATGGGAACAGTCTTTCAATTGGTCTGTGTTGTTTGTCGTGTATTTGTGTATAATATACGTATATACATTTAAAAAATTAATAATCATATGCAAAGGCCACATTAAATGTAATGAAATGTATAGCAAAAGCATGCACATAAACATAAATGCATTCATATCCATACACATATATATATATATATATAGATAAAAAACAAACAAAAACAAAAAATTACACATCGATGACAGGCAATGCATCTACATAGATCAGATCGTAAGATACATAGATATATGAAATATACAACAAATAAGGCAAATTAAGGTAAAACAAGGCGACTAAAGTATATAAATGTCCAGGGCCTCCGCTAGCTAGTCGACATGGTATTCGGTGCGATGCGGCGAGCCGCTGCGCTTCTCGGCCACAAACGGACTGGAGATGCCCGAGATGCTGGTGACACCGCGCAGGCCAGTGCTGCGGAAATAGATGAGCAAATATTGTTCGCCGTGGCGCAGCTCGACATCGTCGGCAAAATCGAGACGCACCAGCTCCTCGTTGGCCTCCTGCTGGCGACGCAATCGCTGCCGATTGCGATGATGATGATGTCGACTGTGACGATGTGGCGCCGGTGCTGGCGTCTCAAAGTAATCCCGCTCCTGGTTTGTGTCGGAGGAGCTGGGCGATTCGGCCTGATTCACATACTCATAGGCCACATAGTACGCCAGACTGGCATAGTCAATGCCATAGATGGCAATCCAATCGTTGGGTCCTTCCTCAAACTCCGGCTGCTTGCGATACTCCACGGTATTCTCATCGCCAATGCGCCAAGTGGACAGCGGGCTAAAGCTGACGCCCGGCGCACGATAATTGGGATAAAGCTTGATCGTAAAATCGCTAGTAACCGGCTTGTGGTCGCTGATATTGTAGGCGGGATGCGATTTATAGGAGCACTGCTCAATGGACAGCGGCATGCCGGGCTGGCGATTGAGCGGCTGCACTGCGTACATGATGCGATCCGTCCAGGCAGGTCGTCGCTTCATGTCGTATTCGGAGGTGCCCTCCTTGAACTTAAACGTGGGCGGAAAGGCGGGCAAGCGCTCGTGCAGCACCTGAAACGCCTGCTGCGTCTGCTCACGCACCTGGTACAGCTGATCGCGCTGCAGCAGCTCCTGGTGCTTCTGCTCATCGCTCAGTGCGTCGCGCACCTCCGTTGCGCTGTCGCTACCCTCCAGCCGAAAGTTGAGATCACCAAACCAGAATACATAGTCATGATCGTAGATCTCGCGATAGCGCTTCACATGGTAATGATGATTCTCGATTATCTGCTTGTAATCCTCGATGCGCTCGTCCAGCTGATGATCGTGGGCGGCCAAATGGGAGACAACAAACGCCAGCCCGCAGCCGTATAGCGTGAAACGCACACTGACCGCACCCTTGTTGCCCCAAATGCCACCGAAACCGGTGCGCGTGAATTCCGCCTCCATGTCCTTCAGATGCTCCACATGCGGCCGACGGACAAACATCGTCAGCAACAGGCCCTGCATTTGCTCGGTTTTGACGGCCACATAGTTGTACTTGCGCAAATGATGCTTGGCCTTGTGCGTCCATGGATCCTCCTTGAACAGGCCCAGCACCTGATGCTGCGGCTGTGCGTTCACCTCCTGCAGTCCAATTGCATAGATATCGGGCAGTTCGCCAGCCGCATCCCCACTGTCATCTTCGGGCAGGCCCAGCAGCTGGCGCAGTGTGATGTTGTCCGGAAACCGACTGCCCACATTCCAGGTGACCACATAGACCCGATACGTTTCCAGTTGTTGGCGCACATTCGATTCGGCTTTGGGTGCGGCCGTTGCGCCAGCTTCCGTGTTACTCATACTATCACACGCACACACACACACGTATAGAATACTGTTAGCTTTTGATTCATGCGATTTTGGCCATATTGTTACTTACATTAACGAGTGCGTGTTGTTGTTGTTATTGTTCTTGTTGTTGCTGCTGCTGCTAACTATTTTGTGTCGCAAGTTGCTATCGTTGCGTTGCTTTTATTGTTGCAATTTCGTTTCGATTGCTGTTAGCTGTTTTGCAGAGCTATGAAGTAATCAGCGTAACGAGGCTTAGCGCATAGTAAATAAAGCACCAGCAGCAGCAGAGCCCGTTTTTTCAAAAAAAAAAAAGCAAGGCCAATTAAGTCATAAAACCAGCTGTTTGCTGTGCATCTATCGTTATCGATACCACGATAGTATCGAAAGGGCGCCGATGTGCTGCGCGCCAGTGTTGCCAAATTAGCTTTTTAAAATCAGATTTGAAAGCTATCTACGAATTTTATTTTGAAAAGAAATGTACTTAAATCATTGCGACTTCTTATTGACTTGCGAATACGGCAGACTCTGCAAAAGATATGTTGGCAGTCCTGCTTGATTTAATACTGCCTTGCATTCATCATATGGTGCCGCACCGTACCCGCCTACTTTTAGGAAGCCACTTTAATTATATACTCACTCACAAGATCGATGAATATCAAGCAAACGAATACATAGTAATGAATAAATCTGAATTCTGCTCGGTAAATACATACATAACTGAATTGAAAATTAGTTTTTTTTTTATAGTTTTGGTTATTTTAGCTATTTTTATGGCTTTTAACAGCTTTTAATAATCGTCGACAGTTTGCAGCACTAGTGCGCTGCCAGACTTTGTACAGCGATATGCAACACTGTGCTTAGTTTTGGGTTTGTTTTTGTTTTTGTGACACACATACTTTTTGTTTTATTGATGCACAATTGATAAGCGCTCATAAAAGAACAAAAAAATACATACTTATACATACGCTATATCAGTTACAAACATACAAATCAATTCTGCAATGTACAGACGATCGGGGCTGGCGTTGAATTGAATAAAAGCCGCCGATACACGGCGTCTACGGCCACGGAATAAAAGGCGAGCGCACAACATAACTAAAACTAATTTTGGTTCAGATTTTTGTTTTTTCTTTTTCTTCTTCACACTTTGACGTCGTTGGCAACCGTTGCTGCCGCCGCCGCTGCCGCTGCTGTTGTTGTCAGTGTTATGTAAAAATATATGAGAGCCAAATGTGCACACAGCATCCTTGAAAGTTGAGACGTTTAGCAAACCAGCTTCTGCAGTGTTTAACAAGTCACGCGATCTTTGCGCTTTAAATTGTTGACATTAACAACGCCGGCAGAGGCAGCAGCTACGGTCGCAGCAGCGCAGCCCACACATTGATTGGCTTGCCATCAAAAAACTCGCGCCATTGCTTGTGTTCGTGTGTGTGTGTGTGTGTTGTGCTTGGGCTCGTATCATGCTGTTAAATAATAAAATTGAATTTGTTAATAAATAAATCCAATTGCAGTTGAACCATGCCTGCGCCCCAGGTAGTCGCAGCCGCTGCCGCTGCCATAACCACGGCAAGTGTGCCCAGCACCGATGCCAGCGCCAACGCAGCAGCCGCAGCGACCAATGCAGCAGCGGCCAACAGCAGCAGCAGCAGCAGCAGCGCTGTGAATAGCGGACGCCATCAGCTGCGACCAGTTAAATATGATTATGCGGATTCATTTGCCTGCACCTATATCGTTTCGGTTGTGGCCGCCTCCATAGCGGAGCTGGTCACATACCCGCTGGATCTCACAAAGACCCGTTTGCAAATCCAAGGCGAGGCGGCCAGTGTGGCCACAATTGCCAGCAGCAGCAGCAGCAGCGCCAAGGCAAATGTGAGTAGTCTGGGTATTTTTTTGTTTTGGCATTATTTGGTATTTTGGTGTTAACCGTTTGTTGTTGTTGTTGTCGTTGTTGTTGTGTTGGTCTCATGCATGCTAGCTTTGATCCCGGCTTTGCTAATAACGATACCCTTGCAGGCGGCTACCGATAAGCGACCGATACCAAAACCCAGCCTATAACTGGCCACACACACAGCACTTGACCAGATCCGTGCGTCTGCTTTACAGTCTTGACAACCGATTCCAACTTTGTTGTTCTAACTGTCTGCAGCCTTGGGCTTAATCTCTGTTAATGTCGATACTCCTATCAAGATTACAAATATTTCCTTTGGCAAGGGTATTTGGGCGCTTCGGTATGCCGAAGTTAACTTTAGTTTTTTTGGGCAATAACAAACAACACGGCACTATTTTGGTCAGTCTTATGCATTATCAGCATGCTGATAAGCTCTAGCTGGTGCTGTTATTTATTTTGTTGATTCTTGTTCTTGTTCTTGTTCTTGGGGTGTGTCCATCTGGGCGCTAGAGATAAATGTAGACATGGAGATTGAGATCAGGTGACTGTGTTTCATGCTGTTGTAGTAGCCAAACGCCATCAACTCTCCCAGCTCGAGCCAATCCACTCACCTATCCCCCCCCTTCCACCCCCTCCCCTCTTCCACCACACAAATATGCATTATTCCATTTCTCTGTGCGTGTGTTAAATGTGCTCTATACACATAGTCCACATTTGATGTATGTATGTACATGTGTATAGATAGGTATATATACGTTCTATAATGAGCTGCATATTATGTAACTGAAAAACCCCCCATTACCAGATGCAATATCGCGGCATGGTCGCCACCGCCTTTGGCATTGTACGCGAGGAGGGCGCCATCAAATTGTGGCAGGGCGTGACGCCGGCGCTCTACAGACACGTCGTCTATAGGTGGGCAATCCAATCAACAACCTAACAAGTACAATACATATACGTATATGCTGGCACATGACCTGTGCCTCCTTAAGTAGAAGCCTAGTGTAGAGCAATACTGGACTGCGATTGCCAATCCAAAATTGCCCATTTGACAGCCAGCCAGCCGAACTAATCTCGTATCCTCCTTGACAGCGGCGTGCGCATCTGTAGCTATGATCTGATGCGCAAGGAGTTCACCAAGAACGGCAGCCAGGCGCTGCCCGTATGGAAATCGGCGCTGTGCGGTGTCACCGCCGGTGCCGTTGCCCAATGGCTGGCCTCGCCCGCGGATCTGGTCAAGGTGCAAATACAAATGGAGGGACGGCGGCGTCTGATGGGCGAGGCGCCGCGTGTGCACAGTGCGGCGCACGCATTCCGCATGATTGTGCAGCGCGGCGGCGTCAAGGGCCTCTGGAAGGGCAGCATACCGAATGTGCAGCGTGCGGCGCTGGTCAATTTGGGTGACCTAACCACATATGATACCATCAAGCATCTGATTATGCGTCGCCTGCAAATGCCCGATTGCCACACGGTGCATGTCCTGGCGTCCATATGCGCTGGATTCGTGGCGGCCATCATGGGCACACCGGCGGATGTGGTCAAGACGCGCATCATGAATCAGCCCACCGACAAGCTGGGCCGGTAAGCATGTCGTCTCTCGTCCATCTCACAGCCCTAATCTATATTCTCTTTCAATACCATTTCCAGAGGTTTGCTCTATCGCGGCTCCTTGGATTGCTTGCGCCAGACTGTGGCCAAGGAGGGTTTCGTTGCGCTCTACAAGGGCTTTCTGCCCTGCTGGATACGCATGGCGCCCTGGTCGCTCACCTTTTGGCTATCGTTTGAACAAATACGCAAAATGATTGGCGCCTCCAGTTACTGAGTCCTTTGGTCCTTAGAGTCACACCCTAAGAGTTTGGGAATGAATGAGAATCAAAAAGAATATGCAATCGATATTTAAAAATCAACAAAACTATGTTAATTCTACATTATTTTGTGTTTGTTGCTTTCTGCGGCAAGGTAAACAAGTGCTATTATAATGGTACAAATACTCTCAAGACTGTTTTTATCTATGCTTAAATCTGATTCTTATGGAACATCTAAAACTTTCACTTGATTATCCTTCGTCCCATTTACAACTTATAGAGTCTGGCTGCACAGAAGATTTATAATAGTCGAAACCTATACAAAATTCGAAAAATCAAAATAGAACTGCTAATCATGTTGAAAATTATAATCAATAGTCTGTAAGAAATCAATATGCAACTCTAGACGAATATATATTTCCATGTTTTAAGCAGTTTTTTTTTTTTTTTTTTTGAAAAAGGTATTGCTATTTTTTTATATTTTGTGAGAATATATATGTATATATATACTGATATTTTTCAATGCTTGAATCGTATTTACTTAGCTCTTACTAAAGTGTACTAAGCTCGTATATTACATTTTATAATTGCCTTGTTATAAACGGGCTTTTTAAGAAATAAACTTTCTAAAAGTGTAAGATATACATTGATTGTTATATAAATTAAAATGAACGGGATTCCTCATAATTATGTGAAAATTAATCGGCAAAAGCTAAACTTGTATTTAATATGTGTATAAAGTAAATCTCCATATACGGAATTATTTAACTGCCTTAAAACGATCAACGAACTTTAAGTTTAGATAACGAGTATTTTTTGAAAAAAAAGTCATCGTGGTATTTCTGTCTCACACGAAGGTGGCCACACTTAAGAGTTATATTATCGATATCGAGTGTTTTGTGAAAATTATCGATACCACCAAATACAACTCGTCAATTTGCGTAGGTGGTGAGTCGCTGTGGTATTTTTGTGTCACACGAAGCTGGTCACATTGCCCAACACAACCAGTATTTCATGCAGTGTATATAAGAGGTGCAAAGGCGATAGACAAACTTAATAATACACTCCGAAATGTTATTTAAATCAATTATACCACTGGCCATCTGTGCGCTCAGCATAAAACCATTTCTAGCAGCCGCAGCGGCCGACGAAGACCCAAAGCCAGCCGATGAGAAGCAATTTGCTGTCGAGCTCAATCCGGAAACATTCGACGAAGCCATCAAAGCCGGCAATGTCTTTGTGAAGTTTTTTGCGCCATGGTAAGCGAAATTGCTGAAAGGCGCTTATGTGTATTTTAATTGGGAAATTTGGCTGTTTGATTTGAATGCGGCTAAGCAAACGTTTAAACAATGAGTTAAAGTTTTAGTTGGCTAAACACACTCACACTCACACACACACACGCAGACGCACACGCACACGCATGCAGACATAGCCACGCAATCTTTAAAAACATCTGTTCATACGTATGTTCATGCATGTGTGCATACATTCAATGTGTTACGACTTGTGTGCAAACATATTAAATAATAGAAACACACATTTCCTTGTTGTTGACGCAGCCATAAGAAGCTGAAGTAGAGATGAGTGCGTGTCGCATTGTTCAAACATTTACTCGCACCACAATCAGAGTGGCCAACTTTCAAATGTTAAAAAGAGCTGAATTAGCTTTCCCAGCACGAGTTGGCCATAAAAATTGCCAAAATATGCCAATTCAGTTGAAAATTTCTAAAAACTAAAACTTTACAAAAAAAAAAGCTATTGACGACCCAAATTAGCTAGCAAATGGCTGACTTGGCAACACTGACTACAATACAAAAGCGCGCACTGTTCAAAATTGTGACGAACAGCAGCAGGACACAAGTCTTATTAAAAATACTAAAGCACATAAAATCCAGAACAAGCCAAAATACTGCAGAAGCATAAAAAGCTAAGCAAATGCACAACACACAACTATTATAAATATGTATATAATTTAATTGAACTCAAAATAGGTAACATAAATCATTGATTTGAGGAGTAGACGTCTTGCTAAGTCGTGTCACGCGCCCAACTCTAACAGTTAAAGCTCATGTTCTACAATATTTCGGAGGCAGCAACTATTTTGGTGTCATTGACGCTGCCGCAATATAAGAATTGTTGTTTTTTTTTTTTCTTAACACGTAGCTTGATAAGGGCGGTCAAAGGGGCTTTATTTATTTAGTTTTCTTTTTTGTTGAGAAGTCAAAGTAGTGCCCCATTGATTGACATATACTAAGCGCACACACACACGCACGTACGACTCGTAATTATAGAAGTATAAGTTATAGTTATAGACTCATACTTAGTTAGGCGCTGGCCGGTTATCAGCTTTTACATATAGCAACCATATATCATGCACTCTTTCTAGTCAATAACGCGAGCAACCCGGCCTGCCTCGCCCATGCCCCTAATCCTCAGACAATGCCCATTGAGTACTCGGAATAACAATTTTTGTTGAAGAGCTCGCATATACGCAGTCCAGAATTCTTATCAACAGCTCGGCCAGCTCTTGAAACAAACGATCGTGGGCGTTGATGAAACTAATTTTATGCTGGACTTGAATGCAAGAGAAATCAATCATTATTTTTATATATATCATATAATATATATTTGTCGATGTCCTTGTAGAAATCCTAATGCATATGCTCTAATCATTTGCAGGTGCGGCCATTGCAAGCGCCTGCATCCATTGTGGGAGCAGCTGGCTGAAATAATGAACATAGATGAGCCGAAGGTGACCATTGCCAAGGTGGACTGCACCAAGCATCAGACGCTCTGCGCCGATCACCAGGTGACTGGCTACCCCACGCTGCGACTCTTCAAGCAGGGCGAAAAGGAGTCGATCAAGTTTAAGGGTACACGCGACTTGCCAGCCATTACGGATTTCATTAATCAGGAGCTGAACACGCCCGCCGAGGAGGATTTGGGTGAGCAGCAGCAGCATCTGGATGGCAGCGGAATGAATCCCAACGTGGGCAAGGTCGTTGATCTCACCGAGGAGACGTTCGCCAAGCATGTGTCCAGTGGCAATCACTTTGTCAAATTCTTTGCGCCCTGGTGCAGCCATTGTCAGGTAAATAAATTCATAAATCTATCTTCTGTTTAAACACAAATGACATGCTTGAATCAACCGTAGCGTCTGGCGCCCACGTGGGAGGAGCTGGCCAAGGAGCTGATCAAGGAGCCGGAGGCAACGATATCTAAAATCGATTGCACACAATATCGCAGCATATGCCAGGACTTTGAGGTCAAGGGCTATCCCACATTGCTCTGGATAGAGGATGGCAAAAAGATTGAGAAATATGCGGGTGCACGCGACTTGTCCACATTGAAAACCTATGTGGTAAAGATGATTGGTGCCCCAAGCGGCACTCACGATCTCGAGGATGCGGCCAAGGACGCACCGGCGGAGGCTAAAAAGCAAAATGTGCTACAGCTGAACGGCAACGAGGAATTCGACAAGGCAACCGGCGATGGCATTGCTTTTGTCAAATTCTATGCACCCTGGTGTGGACATTGCCAGAAGCTGCAGCCCACCTGGGAGCAGCTGGCAACAGAGACGCAGGCCGCTGACCTGGGCATTGTGTTTGCCAAGGTTGACTGCACATCGCCGGAGAACAAACAGATCTGCATAGACCAGCAGGTCGAGGGCTATCCCACGCTCTTCATCTACAAGAATGGCCAGCGCCAGAAGGAGTACGATGGCAGTCGCTCGCTGCCAGAGCTGCAGGCGTACGTCAGGAAATTCATCGGTCACGATGAGCTCTGAGCTGATGAACTGATGAACCGAATCACACACCAATACGAATGTCATCGCCAAAGTAAACTTATTTCTGCAGCCTCTATGAGGGCATTGGTTGATAGGACCGAGTAGTCATCCATTTAGACAAACAAACAAAAAAAAAAAAAAAAGACAAAAATTGTAATAATAGTCGAAACAAAACAAACAAATTTACACTGAAAATGTGAATCAGTTTTGTGATTGTTCCTTGTGTTGTCCATTAGCGGTTTTTTCTTTTCTTTTCATTCAGTTCAGTTTTGTTCACATGTGCCAATTATCTAAGAATATATTTTTCTTGAAATTTTGATAGTAAATCTTGAATGAAGTTCATATCGAAACTTTTAGAAAAACCGAAAGTATATATATTAATATATTAGTACTGATATCTGGCATATTTGATCTCAACTTAAGACTTTCACATTGGTTTTCGTTTTAGTTTTTGAAAATATATTTTGAATAATTGTCTTAAAGAAACCAATAAACACAAATTTGGAAGTGGTATTTGTTTTAATGCTTTTTGTAATGGATTAGATAAGGTATGAAGATGCAAAATATGACTGCAAATACCAAAAATACAATATAATTATAAACTTTCGAAACAGCTAATAAATGGCACATAACTATTTTCTACGTATGGCAAAAAAAAAGCTTGCGACAGTGTACATTTATAATGTTGTTTTGAAAATATTTGAAAATCGCGGTTTTGTATAAAATACTGTTTAATGTTTTTTTTTTTTTTTTGTAATGCGAATTGTGCTTTGCGTTTTGGGTTTTACGGGCAACACGGCAAACGGTCACACTGTCACAAAAACGCAATTTGTTGTTTTTCGTTCGGTAGAAATTGATGTTTAACCTATTGGGCATGTCCTCAACGAGCCTTGCACGAGTAATGCTGTAGGCATCATCAAATCAATTGATTTGGAGTAGGAGCGTCTGCCAGGTGTTACACAGAGCTACAGAAACGCACACCGACACAAAGTTTTTTATGAACGCAAACATCAACGGAGGAGCTGGTGGTGGCGGTGCCGCTGGTGGTGGTGCTGGTGCTGGTGGTGCTGGTGCTGGTGGTGGTGGTGGTGGTGTTGGGGGTGGGGGTGGTGCTGCTGCAGCTGGTGCTTGCGCTGGCGCTAGTCCTGCGGCCGCTGGCGGTGGTGCATCAGGTGAACCCGGAGCTGGAGGCAATGCGAGCGCATCAACAGCCACAAATGGCACCGAGGGTAGCACAAATCTCAATGAGGATCAGGATGCCAAGCGGCGCAAGTGTCTGGAGACAGACGAAGCACAGGATGGCGCTAGCACCGTGAGTATGCATTTACACAGAATCCACTTGAACAGTGCACCTTACAAAGAGGCCCATTAATCTCTGATACTCATTTGTGTGTGTGTGTGTGTGTGTGTGTGTGTGTGTGTGTGTGTGTGTGTGTGTGTGTGTGTGTGTGTTTGTGTGTGTGTGTAGATGATTGATGCGAACAGCGTGCTGAACAAGATTGCCCATCTGTATGCAGAGCAGCTGATGTCGGACATTGTGCTGCTGGTGGATGGCAAGGAGTATCCGGCACACCGTGTCATACTCTGCGCCAGCAGCGATGTCTTTCAAGTGATGCTCATGAATCCGGAGTGGAACGAGTGCAGCAAGCATGTGATTGAGCTGCACGAGGAGGCCTGCTGTTCGGCGGTATTTCCACAGTTTATCAAGTACTTGTATGTGGGCCATATCGAGGTGACGCTACAGACGGTAATGCCCATGCTGGCGCTATCCGACAAGTACAATGTGCGGGATCTCATCGAGCTGTGCGTGGGCTATATGATGAAGCATGTGGCCAAGTCGGCGACCAGTGGCTATTTGGTCTCCTGGCTGCAATATACACTATCGTTTACGCCCACGCATAATGATCTCACCGAGACGCTGAAGCGTTTCCTAAAATGGAATCTGGAGATGGTGGCCGAGTCCAAGGACTTTGTAGAAATGGATCCGGCTATATTGCAGCTACTGTTGCAGCAGAACGACATTGTTGTCACCAGCGAGTACAAATTGTTTACCATATTGCAGACATGGCTGCTCCATCGTCGCGAGCTAATAGAGTCCACCGCCGACATTAGCGTCGACAAAAAGGCAGCCAGCTTCGTGGAGCTGATCGAGCAGACAGTCATGCACATACGCTTTGGCATGATGACGCCGAGTGAGCTGGCGCATCTACTAATCGTCCCATTGATCGACTACCATAAGGAGTTTCTCGTGGAGCGCATTGCCATCGGCATGAGCTATCAGTCGGGCCAGGAAGATCGCGTACGCGAGGTCCGGAGCACAGAGTACGGCGAACTGCAATTCACACCGCGGCTCTACTGGAACGACACGTGGAGCGTTGGCATCGATGTGCACAATTTTGACAAGATCGAGGACTACAAGAACTATGTCACCTGCTTCTTTTCGCAACGCCACATCGCCGAGACCGAAGACGGTGAGTACCATTCCATCATGGTCACATATCTCAAATGATTCACCCGTTTCCCATCCCGTTTTCCCATTTCGCATCCCCTTTCCTCCATTTCCCACTATACCTTTGTATTTGTCATATATGCTCTCATCTTTCTAAATCGTGTGATCATAATGTTTAGATCCCTGCATGACTTGGGAGATTGAGTTCTTTCCGCGCGGCGTTAAGTATAATAAGGCCAAAATGGTCTGTGGCGAGGATGTGCCCGGCTGTTCATTGAACACGGTGCGGCTCCGAGTCACGTGCAAGCACCAGAACATTGGCGAGGAACGATTTAAGGTGCGTATACCCTGTAATTAGGAAATGTAGTCGGCCTGCTAACACCATTTTCAATGTATTGACTGACAGATTGCCGTGCTCATCGTTGGCGTGCAGAACAAGATATCGCATATACGCACCGTTGTCGAGCGTACGGAATACTTTTCGGACATAGCACGTGTCATCAATTTGGATAACTTGCTGCCGTACGAGGAGCTGGAGCATACATCACCCTATTTGAGCCCCCATCTGACGGGCAATCAGCGCAATACGCTCTCCCTGCACGTTGTAATTACCCCCATGGGTCCGCACACCTGTCGCGACACGCCTCCGTTTCAATTTTGAGCTGATCAAACCTGAGCACATGCCCATCTTCCGAAACACACACACACACACACGATATACACTCGCAAATCTAGTTATGTGTGCGTGTTTATTGTGTGCGCTTCGGAATATGTGTTTGGATTTATGTTAGATCAATTCAAAATTCATGTAGGAGAGTGTCGCGACAGATGTGCGCATATATATATATATATATATATATAAATGAATATATATATATACATATTTATATGTATAGCGTTCGCGAAGACATTAGTTTATAGAGCCCGCTCAGCCCCTATATTATCCTAGTCGTTTGGAGCGTTGGCTCTTTGACATGCTCCCACGTGCTCGAATTGTGTGCATAAACCTAGCTTTCTCTTCCATACAATTATAAAAATCCATTGTATTAACGAAAATCATCTGAAACGCAGATCGGCGAGGTAAGCGCATCAGTTTTTCTGCTGTACAATTACCAGCTTAAGCATTATATATTTTCTAAGTACCGCTCTACGGCTCTGTATTTCTGCAATATATTCTGATTTTATTATTATTATTTTTTTTTTTATTAACTAATATGTGTTCTAGTTTTTTTTTTTTGGTTTGACTTACGACTTAAGCAAAAGGTTTAGCAAAAAGGCCATTTACTTGATAATATATTTGTAGTTGCCTTTGAAGAGCATGTTTACTGGTCGCAATGCCAATAAACATTGTAACTAGCTAGACTATTGAACGGACATTTTTCTAATAAACGTTGATTTGTATAGAAAGATTCCGAGTTTTAACTTTAAAGTTCTCACATTTGTTTTTTGTATACGAATTCTTTTTAAGACCATTTTCTTATGTTACTTTCAAAGTTAAACAGATGTAATAGTTTTAAGCTGATAAATGTTTACAAGCCATGTCAATGTATAACCAGCCCGGCGTTGCCACACTTGCGCATTTTGCTACCAAGAGGATAAATTCAGTAACAGTTAATTAACATGAACTTCGATCGTAACATGAGAGAATGGAGCTTAATAGTTTTACAACTTCCAAGCAAATACAAGTCTTTTCTTTAAGTACTATCCATTCAAGATAATGCCGAACTATGCAAGGCTGTTGCCAACTTATGTAGCTATTACCCTGGCATTAGATAATAGTGCAAATGCGTATGTGTATGTGTTTATATAGGTGTATATATGTATGTATTCCTAAGGCTTAAGCTTAACTATTTTACCTACTCTGGTTGTAGTGTAAATATCATGTATGAAGTTTTAATAACTACTTGGGTTTTGTTATAACATTATAAAGACAGCTTCATAAACCGAAAGATATATAAATTCCGACATATATATATATATAAATTAATAGGTATTGCGTCAAAGTGCCCATAGATAAGAAGAGCAAGGTACAAAATAGAGAGCGAAAGAGAGAGAGAGAGAGAGAGAGAGAGAGAGAGTGAGCGTGTAAAGAGAGAGAGAGAGAGAAGATTTGACAGAGATCGAGATATATGTGTGTATACAGAGAAAACTATTTACCCATAAAATCAAAAGTTTTTACCAATATTATATAGGAATAACAACAATGTCATTTTAAAGCAATATTCTCAAATTTGTTTGCTTGTCAATTGCTTTGAGAAAGAATTCTGTCAATTTCTGAATACGCTCATAGTCTAGTTTTTGTACCAATTAACACGGCTAGCTCTGTGCATGGAAATTGAAAAAGAAAAAAAAAAAAAAACGACAACATTAAAGAATGAAACCAAAGCTGTATAATTATGCAATCTTTATTAGTAACTGTGCTTTCATAATAATCAGATTTAATTTATCAAGCTGCAAATTCAAAAATTTACAAAAAAAAAAAACAAGAGAACTTTCGAAACTGTTGCAACTAACGAAATACATATATATATATATATATATATATATATATATATATATATAATGTTACAGATCAGAAATGTCCTAATTTAAGCATTTAAGGAATTCCGTATTGAAGCTCTTGAGATTAAATATAACTGACAATTACAAATGTTATTTTTTTTGAACTGTGAACTAGCCCTGGTATTATATTATTTGGAATATAAGTTCACAAGCCAATCTAATATTAATTGACAGAATGTATGTTTCCTACGCGATTTGAAGCTAATGATAACATATATTTGTAACGTATTACTTATCCATAATTGTTAATAAAATTCTGATCCAGACACAGCTTTATTATATTCTCAGCATACCAATATTATTCGACCAGAAAGTAAAAGCAGATGCGACCTTGAATTTACCGCCAGCCAAATGAAGAGCACAGCTTAAACTATATGTATATATATATATATATATATCTATTTTCTTTGTTGTTGATATTTTTGATATATTTTAGATGAGTAGGGAGTGTGTACTAAGTACGTAGTTCATAAGAAAGCAATTGCATATTTATTTAAGCATCTGCCGAGGCTGTTGACAAACTTTTGACTCTATATACCGCACAGCACCACCAAAAGGCCGTGCACCACCACCAAATAACCCTGAAAGACGGAGAGCGAGAGTGGGCGCTGACTTGCACAAATTGTGGATGGACGGCTATTCTTAGCGGTATCTGGGTGGGTATTTAAGTTTTATAGCACGTTCTTATTGTTGCCGTTGTCTCATATCGCAGTCTTTTGTTATTGTGCGGTGCTTGGCTTTTCGAGCACCTTGTACGCATCGCGTGCCCCGTAAAGGGTGTTCCAAATCCTCTGAAAACAATTAACAATTAACATTTGACTAAGTCGAAAATATATATTTCGATTAATCAAGTTCTTTGATCAATTGCTGGATGTTCTATACCCTAGCAACAAAATTCTATGGAAAGATTCTGTAAAGAAGTTTTTGCATATATATGTATATATATGTAATATATATACTCGAAGTATACAAATGGATTTGGATTTCTGGATAGGCGCACTTCCGTGTGGGTATCCGACAGTCGGGCATACCCAACGACAGGTTTCACTTGTATGTTTTATCGGTTTGAGTGCTTTTTAGTTTACGCACTTATCGCTATCCATCCATTGTTTTACAGAACCACCTTGTAATCGGCCCAGACGTACAGCATTATCCAAAGATAAATTATGCTTAAAGTGCGGCTCGGAGTTTTGTGGCTTCCCAGTCGAATTTTGGCAGCGACAACAGTCGCATCCGAACTTTAGCTATACCTATAAAAACTCTGGAAGCCTTCGGATTAGCCAGATACCAGTCGAGCCTCTAGCCAAGTGCAGTGTGATTTTTTTTCTGCTCGTCTTCATTCTAAAAGATTCGGATTTATTTATTTATTTATTATTTTTTTTTTTTGATAATCAAAGCTCAATGGATAATCCGGGCTATGTGATTGATTGCGAGTGCGAGTTCGGTGAGTTTTATCGTTCGAAATGGTTCCAACTGGTCAAAAATATATTTAATCGTTCGAAATGGTTCCAACTGGTTCACGTTAAGCTTATTAACGGGAACTAGTTCCGCAACATTAATGTCCTAATTGAATTGTGACAAAAACAAAACCAAAAAAAAAAAAACAAAAAACGTGCAATCCGGAAATATGATTGATAAGGGCGCGTGTTTGTTTTCCACTGATAAGTGGATCGTAATGTTTATGTTTATGTGAGCTGTAAAGTTCATAAGGTTTTAATTAGTGCAAACAGAGATTTGTTCGATACCCTGTAAACAGTGCAATGCCCCAAGCGGGTAAACTCTTGCACGGGTAAATTGTGCATATGAAAGACGGGTTTCTTTTTTAAGCACAAAACTGAGCCAATTTGCTAGAGAGTACTGGAAACACCTTTAAGGATTTATGCTCAGGATTTAAATAGTTCGAATCCTAGAAATTTCTTCTATGCCTTAGTTTAAAGGAATTGCGAACAATTTGTGCACGGATATGGCAATAACTTTTCAATATATATATATATATATACTTTTTTTTTTTGATTTAGTCAAGATTTTTCACAATCAAAATGCAAAGTTTTCTGATTTTCATATTGAGCTTCAGAGCTTTAGCAAAGCTCCAATTTGTTGAAGCATGAAAAAACGGATTTTGCAACCATATTCTTGTCTCAAAACAAAACTTCTTTTGTGTTTATTCAGCTCTGTTTCACCTGAAAGAGATTCTTAGTATTCTAGTATTTTTTACTCTAAACGGGTTTTTCTTGTTGTGCTCACAGGGTAGCCGCGCGTCGACTACTTGCGCCTTGTTTATCGCAAGTGTCATTTGTTTGACTAAAGTTGGGCAAAAGTCAGTTTAAAGTTTTGTTTTAATAGTTTGTTCTATGCTTTATTATTGCCAAAATGACTTGTTTCTCGTCTAAGTACACAACGTACATGTGTGTGTGTGTGTGTGTGTGTGTGTATGTGTGTATTTGTTATTTAATACGCAAGTACATGTTCATCAGATACAAATACATTTACAGGATACAATTCTATGTCATAAAGCCATATAGTTTTCATATATATTTATCTATAATATATATATATATATATATATATGTATATATATGTGTATAGATATATAATCATATATTCATATATTCGTCAACTCAATTCTCTTGTGTAAAATGCGTGTTATTTTCATATTTTCTTGCTTTGATTGTGGTGTGGATATGATATGGGGTCTTCCTCTTGTTGGGGTTTGCATTTGCAGCTCCTTTCCTATATGTGTGAGTGCGCCACAGCAGTTTATTGATTGGATTGGATATGCCCTATTGGGTTATATATGCAGGGTATATGTCTGTGAGAAACGAAATTATCGCCGTACACATCGGAAAACTGAATTCATATTTGAATTAATTGTTCATTACCTTAAAGTTTTTGAAACTCTTAAAAAGTCTGTCTACAACATTTCATAAAATTAATTAAATAAATTAGTTTGTCAGATGTGCGGTGGCCGGTTCGAATCCATTCCATTTGCAACTCGCACATTTACAATATTTCCGAACTACTGAAAAACTTGCATATTTTGTTGATAAACATTTCAGCTTAGGTTAAGTTCAATGCTGGTTCGAACTCAACACACCTTTGTTTTGCAAACCGTTTTCGAACTCAATTTTATGTTTTTTGTCTTTCAAAATTCGTTTGCAGCCTGTTAAAAAAATTATGTTTTCCGGATATTCGAATTTGTTTGCCAATGCGAACACTCAAAACTTGAGGGATTTTTTGCACAAATCTATCAAACTAACCGAAGTAAATATTTAAAAAACTTGAACTCTAGCATTTATCTACCAAAAAATGTAAACTCTCATTTGAATATAAAACTCGTTTGTTTCTTCTTATCAAATTTTTACGTTTGTTGCTTTTTGCATTTAAATATTGACTTTCTGATAAGTCCATATATTTGGAAATACTCTAATTTGTCGCTAATTAGAAATATATTTGGTACGAATGCCTGACTAGATGATCCTAGAATATAGATATATATTTATATATGTATATATGTATGTGTGTATATATTGTTCTTGTTTTTCTTTCTTTTTTAGGAACAAACATTGTATCAAAAACCGTTTTGATCAAATTTCACTAAAAAAGAAAAAAACGTTTTCTCTCGCTAACTTTCAACGCTACCAACTCGCAAATCTCAACTGAAAATGTTGAAGAACATTTTTGTTTTGTTGTTTTTTTTTTGTTTTTGTTTTCTTTAAAAAAAGGTATAAAAAACACACATATATATGCATTTATATATACGCTTGTACATGTACGAGCTTTAGCCAATTGCGAAGACAAACCCACGCAAATTTCCATAGCATACTTTTGAGGGCGGCAGAAACTTTGGTCTCGGTTCCGTTGGATTTGCCTCGAATATGAAACTCGGAATGTGGATAATATGTATATATGCATATATTATGGCCTCTATATAGCTATAGTGTATATACAAATACCATATAAATTGTTATCGTTATCAATTGTTGTGTTCAATCTATGAAATATTCATGCAATTTGCCAAGCTGAACCCTCTCCGATATTTTCGTTGATGCCGAATGCCGTGAGATCTATATATATATATAGATATATAGTTTTGTGAATTGTTGTGAGAGTGTGTTTGTTGGTTATACTTAATTGTTTTTGTTTCTTTTTTTAACTAGTTATTGTTGTTGCCTTAAAGCAGTGTCCTAGGTGGGGTGTCGTTGCTTGCCGCTGCGAGTGACGCTCTATTTGGAGTGGGTCCCGTCTAGGTACATATGTATACAAGTACCTAACTATCGTATTTAACTATTTCTTTTACTTTTGACTATAACTATTATTGAGTATTGCGTTCGCCGTGTTATGCCTTAGTTGTGAACGTGTGTGTGTGTGTGTTTGGTTCTAGAAAGTAGGTTAAGTAATGCCCCTCTATATAGGTTTTTTCTTTTTGTTGATATAGTTAGATATATATGTATATATATATACGTATTGAAGGTGTGTTCATTGCAATGTTTGTGGTATTTATCAAAGTCTCCAGCTTTCTTCTCTGGTTTATAAATTATTTGAGCACAAATTTTGGGGCTGGGTTCCTCAATAGAACCCGTTAGTATACCCAAAAACGATCCTATCGATTGGGTTTATCCAATTAATATCGTGTAAATAATGGCTCGTTCCCACTGGGCTTCGTTTCTAACATATTTTTCAAGCTCCTGTTAAAGTTAGTTGCCGTTTTAACATGAAGTTTAATACCAAATTTGGCATGGCAGTGTTGCCACCTTTACAAAAATTAACCATAAATTTGACTGTTAACCATCAATATGCAAAACTCTGTTTATACATAAGGATTTATGTTTATCGTGTTTTCTGCTGTCTCTTTTGGTATTTACGAGAGTCGAGCTCTAGGAGTACTTATAACATTATCTAAGCTTAGAGCCTGGTAGTTCCCCCGTTAATATATCTACTATTCGAAACGTCTACACTAAAACAATTTTTTTTAGTGTATGTATAATTGCAATTTTGCAAACAGTTCAGAGGGGAAAAAAAAGAATTTGAGTATTTCGGAGTTGCCAGCCAGTTTAAAAGGTGAAGCTAAATTTACAAGCAGCTAGATTTAGCAGCCCGCTAATCTACCTGGTAAATATTCTGCAAGTTAAATTGTACCTGCGAGTTCAAAATAAATACGCCCTCAACGCTTTGAAAACTTGTTGATAGGATCAAAGCGTTGCCAATTTGAAAACCTTCTTAATGAAAACCATTTCAACTAACATGAACTTTACAAGGCAGTTGAGAAAAGCTGCCCTTTCACTGTTCACAGTCGAGTCAAACAGCCAGAAGAGCTCTACATGGTTCCAAAGAAGAAGAAGAAAATAACCTAGTGGAAACCCCGGTCACATTCAACTCTGATATATACTTTATATATATATATATGTGTGTGTGTGTGTGTGTATAGGTATATTTGACGCATCTGCCGTCGCTTTGGGAGTATAGTACAGTAGTACTTGTGATATGAGAGTGTCCGAGTCTCAATTCCGTGCCAGAATTCCCCAGCCATCTGGTGCATGCCAGATGCTTAAAGTAAAGTATCTTTAGCTAAACTTTGGCCAACTATTTAACGCTTTGTGTGTGTGTGTGTGTTAGTTATTGGGGCAACATTTGCAGCGCTTACTTCTCGAAGATTAGCTCGCCGGTGAGGAACGGATTGAGGTAGGTCTGCGCATCGTAGCCGGACACGGTGGCCGTGGTGGTGCGTCGTCGCACCTGGGCACCACCCAGGCCGCGTCGCTCGCCATGCGCATGACTGTGGCTGTGGTGCGGCGGACGCTTCTCGCTGTTGCTCGGACTGAGGATCAGCGGTATGGGCATCGAGGTGTACAGCTGCAGCGGCTGCTGCAGTATGGTGCCGGCTGCCGGATTCAGCGGTGTGTCCATGTAGCCGTGTGGTGCCGCCGCCGTTGGCTGCTCGCCCAGCGCATATCCGGCGGAGGCTGTGCTGCTGGCCGGCAATGTGGAGCCGCTGCGTTCCGGCTGCTTTTTGGGCCCAATGCCGCCGGAGCGCCCACGATGATGCTTGTAGTGGCCAGCGCGGTGGCTCTTGCGCTTCAGATGTGCCATGCCCTCCGCCGGCGGGGATGTATCCAGCACCAGGGGCATGTGGTGCGCCGACCCGTCCACATTTGACGGCGGCTCTAGGCGATAGGCGACCGGATTGCTGCTGCTGCTGCTGCTGCTGTTGTTGTTGTTGTTGGAGTGGGCGACGGGTGGCTTCTTGAGCGGCTCACGCAAGTGCGGATGCGGATGTGGATGTGCCTGTATAATGGTGGCCGTGGCGAACACCTCCTGGAAGCGATTGCTCGCCTCCAGCTGCTGCAGCTGGAGATGTTGCTTCTGCAGGAACTGCTGGCGCTGCAATTGCAAATGGTTCAGGATGCGATACTGCTCGAGGATGTGCTTGTAGAACTGCTCTGCGGTGACTTCCGATGAGTTTATTAGGCGTATGGCAATCTTTTCGGGTATCACAATTTTGTCTGCAACGTTAAAACGGAAAGTAATCAAACTACAAATATACCAAAATGCTCCAGGCAGCAATGCCCAACTGACAGATACCCTGTGTCTGCCTATGGACAGAGCTCTACTTCCCGTCCTTTTGGCATACCCTGCATCCATTTTTAATGGATAAAAATTAGCATATTTAAGAGGCCTAAGCTACCCGACACTCTATATTATATAAATGCTTGATCGGGCTCAAGTTTTTGTTAAATGAACGATAACTCAGAGTCGGAAGAGCTCCACGAGCGAGTATACATAAAACCAGAATATTCAATTGTTTGGTTTACCCACAAGCTTTGCCCTTTAAAAAAGAATCTGATTGGTGAAGATAGCGCCTTGGACTCTGGGATATACACACGTTTGCTTGTCACATTGAAGCTCTGAAAATTTCAAAAAGATCGGACCACAAACACCGAAGTTAATCAAGACATATTGCAGGGCCTGAGTCCTAGGGAAGTAACTGGAATGTTTGTGACAGCAGCTTGTGGCTGGGTGCAGAGTATCTGTTAGTCGTGCATGCCCGACTAGAGCGCTCAAATCCTAATGGGGCTACTTTATAAAATGCATCAGTGAATATTATTTATAATATAGCCACTATTTTTGGGCTGAACCAATTTCATGGCTGGTGACAATGCGATTATTGAACCGCAAAAGCCATGCACACATGCACAGGCGCGCACACATACACACGCACAAGATAGCCCATTGACCCAATTTCGAGTTGATTTACAACACTAAAAAAAAAAGGACAAATGCAACAAATGCAAAAACACAACCATGCTAACTCGCACGCCCCTTCGGCATGTGCAAAGCCCAACGAGAACCGCAAAAGCCGACAGCGTTCCGAGCCGTTACCGTTACCGTTATTGTTTGACACACCCCCCGCCCACCGCCCGTCGTCACTCTTCATTTAACGAGAGGCGATGAATCGGTTAGGTATTGCATGGCAGGGCAGGGCAGGGCAGGGCAGGGGTAAGAGTTGGTGTGCAATTTAGCTGTAGCCTAGTTGTAAGCCTGTGTCCCAGTTTGATTTAGTGGCGCGTCCGCAGACCCAAATGAGTTCATCAATTGACCATAGTGACCCCGCCCCCTCCCCACCTACCCCTTCACCAGCTTGCTAACTGGCAAATGCAGTTAGAGTTACCGTTAAGTTTGTGATTAAACGGTCATTGGGTTGATTAGCCAGCCCTCACACTTAGCCACCTGCCGCACTTACCGCACTGATTGGCCTTGGTAACAAAAGGCCGTATGGTCGGATCCCATATGAATATATAGTATAGCGACAGCATTATGGCCGCCAGCGATACGCAGAGCACATAGACGGCCACCGTTAGGATGCGGATGACCTTACGGTTGCTCTGCTGCGGCTGATAGCAACGGCTTATTGTCTCCGTTGGCGGCAGTTTCACTTTCTCCTCGAGCGAATTGACTTTGGAATTCATATTCGCTGTTTCTAGTTGCTGTTGTTGTTTTTGTTGTTGTTGTTGTTGCTGCTCTCTTTTGATTCTCGTTGTGTTTGTTTTTCTTATTTGATTTCGTTGCCAGTTTTGATTGGGCTGTCTTGTTAATTATTTATTACTGCTGTGCACTTTCCTTTTTCTTGTTTCTCTTCTTTTCTTCTTTCTTTTTTTCTTTTTGATATGTTCAGCTTCTTTTGTGTTTGGATTTTCGCGTTTGGCAGTGCAATTGGTTAGTCTAGTTGTTGTACATAAATGCAAAGTTTTTGTAGTTTCTTGTTGTTGTTGTTGTTATTATTATTGTTGACGCGTCGCGCTGCGCTTTACAGTTACAGTTTACAGCCGCCGCCGCAGTCGCAGTCACAAAAAAAGCTGCCAACCGACGCGTCCAGCGAATGCAAGCGAAATGACGCCCCAGCACAAAAAGCTTCAGCCGTAAGCAGAGCCTTTCTGCTGCTGCTTCTGCTGCTGCTGCCTCAGTCAATGCAGGAGTCATCGGCAGCGGCATCGCCTGCTCCTCGGCTGCAGCACTTCGTGCCGCGTAGCCTTCGTGTCAGGCAGCCGCATCTCTTTCTCTCGCTCGCTCTCTCTCACTCCAACCAACAGCCCTTGCGATCCTCTACAATGTGCTGCGCTTTTTCGGCATCTTTCGCATATAATTTCATTCATAAAATGCCTGTTTACTCCACGCCAGCTGTCGCTGCTCGCTGCTTGCTGCTCATTTCGCTCATTTTCATTTACATATAAATTTCGACGCCTGCGTCGGCATCGGCGTCTGGATGCGGTCCGTTAGTTGTCGTGTTGTTGTGTTTAACTGCAACTGGCACGCGCCGCTGGCATTCCAAACAAAAACATAGCCAAGCTGCTCTGTAACTGTAACTGCGACTGCGGCAGCGGCAGCGGCAGTGGCAGAGACAGAGGCAGCACATCGGCACGTCTTGAGGCCTGCCACTGCTTTATGTGTCAAGAGCGCGACGCCCACGCCGCACGGCCCACGGTCCACGGCCGACGCGCGTTTTGGTTGTTTATTGCACGCGGAAATGCAAATGCGCGCCTGATTTTGCCCGCAAAATGAATGATTAATAAATAAATAATTGAAAGAAAAAAAACTGTTTTAACATCTATCAATTGGTCGTAAAATTGAAATGAAATCATGTTCCAAACATTTCTCGCCAATTAATTGCCATTCTTCTCTATTGCGCGGCAGCGGTCGCAGCTGCGCTGCAGTTGCCTGCAATCACATCTGCCTGCTTTATGTGTGACCATGCCCGCGCAACCTTCGCAGGCGGCGTTGCGAAGGACAACAGCGGGCAATTCGTATACACATGTACATACATATGTATGTATGTATGTATGTATGTATGTATGCACATATGTAAATAAATATGCTTGTATTTATTGTTTTTGTGCGTTTTGCTTGGGCAACTTTCGCTGTTGGTCGTCCTGCACCTGCACCTTTCGCTTCCAAGCGCCATGCGCTGCTTTATTGCTTTTTGATGCTCTGCACTACAAAGTTGGCGAATAGGGAATACCCACTTGATCTCTTAAATATCAATAGTTGCAAAGTGCTCGAAATACATACGTACAGTGGGAGCTCTCTTGAGTTCCCGTAAGAAATGTGGCCTGTCTCTTCTCTTCTACTACGAGCACTCTTATATTTTGCAACGCCAGCGCAGCTCAGCAACAACATGGCCGATAAAAAGCAAACGGATCGTAAGCTCCTCACAAAGTTGAATACATTTATATTTGTGATTATATTCTCTTCTACTACCACTCTTCTACTCTGCATACAAAACCCATCCATACTAGCTGCATTATGTATACGCCCTGTAAAACTTCTGTTGCATTATTGAAAGCTAGCATAAAGCTCTTATATAACTCTGCTATTGTACAGCTACAGGGTATTCGCCTAACGTGTCCTCTCCGCACTGCGCAAAACTTTTACTTGTTTTCCATTTCGATTCGGCAATCCGTTCGTCAGCGGTCGGTCGGTCGGTCGGTCGTTCGGTGGGTCGGTCGCCGTTGACTGGAGGTTAATAATCTGCAACTGGGTCACTAGGACAACGGCGAAACGAATGCAACTAAAGGCTGGCAGGCACAGAGCGCAAGAGAGCAAGAGAGCAAGAGAGCGAGAGCGCGATAGGGGGAGAGCGGACATCGGCTTGGACTCCGAACGATTGCAGCGTTTGGCCATTGATTTTGTTGAATAAGCGAGATTCTCTCACACACACACACACATTCATCATGTGGCTCGCCAAAATGTAGGCCACACGCCCAGTTTCAGTTTTTGCACCCACACTCAGGCAGCAACCCCCCCACACCCCCCGCACACCAGGCCAGCGACTGTAACATTGCTTGCAAATGGCCCTCAAGGATTCCTTTCAGGTGTCGCGCCACCTTGAACAGGAAACAACTCAAAACAGTGCATGATAATCTGATAAACTCTTTAACTGCCAAACTAACTGTATTCCAGTTACGTATAAGTTGGCTTATACGGCCACTCTTATACCTGCCAAAGAGCTGCAACAATAAGCTAATTTGAAGTGCGATAAATTTGTGTGTTCTGAATGAAACTTTGTCGAAAAGACGAGATGAAAGGGCGTGCTCGACTAGCTGTTACCCTGTATGCAAAGAGCTCTGATATATAATATATAAGTTAATTAAGTTTTAAAAGTTTTTTCGTTGAGAACTATTCAATTTTTACGCAATTTTAAAAAATATAGGAAATATATATGGTATATACAGAGTATATATGGAGAATATATAGATTTTATAGTATAGAATAGAATCCGCTTGAAAATAGTTTGAAATATCTGACTTATTGGGGCTTGAGGGATATATCAATTCTATCTGACTGCGAAAATCTCCCATACTACTAAATACTACAAGTTCCATCTGGTAGCCGACTATATATATATAAAGAAGAAGAAACCGTATCGCTTGGCCTTACCAACATGGGCATCTGGTCCCGGGCTGCGCAAAAGGCATTAGCCAAAAGCCGGCGGCTTCTTTGGACCCTTGAAGACGGGCGGCATGCGCGAGTCCCAGAAGAAGATGTGATAGATGGACAGTATGAAGCCGAGGCTGCAGAGGCCGCACAAGTAGATGACAAGGATAAAGTAGCGGGCGAAGCGTTCCGAGCATGTCGGCTCGGCGAACACAATCTCCTCCAGCTGCGGCGATTTGGGCACGTACGAGTAGGCGGCGCGCCGGGGCGTGCCGCTGCTGGCGAGCCGTACGCTGCGCGAGCTGCCAATGCTGGACGGTTCCTGGTCGCGCACATTGGAGCCAATGAGATTGACAATTTTGGCCAAGTTAACATTGACCGCCGGCGTCTCGGCTGACATGCTGAACCGATCTCTGGACGTGGGACTCTATCAGCTTCTGGACACTGGGCCTGGCCTGGCCTGGCTTGTTAAGCGTCGCACCGATTACTGATTTCATTTTATTGACGCTGACGTCGATTAAATCAAAATCGGACACGGATGACGCAAGCGAACGCAGACCTGACCCACTCGGTACGGCTGGCTGTCCGGGCTTTGGGGCTCTGCGATTTAGTGGAACGTGCTAAAGCGGATTAGTTTTATGCGTGTCTGTCAGCTTTTTTTTCTCTTCTCTTTTCTCTCTGCATATCAGAGGGTCCAGAGCCCGGCGGAGGCAACCTCTAGTTGGCAACCTTAGTCCGGCACCCGAGACCCTACCTTCTTTCGATTAGTTGCCCACACGCCCTCTTGCTGCCCCATTAATCCGAGTGTTTAGTCATAGCAAATGCCAGACAAAGCCGGCTAACTAAAACCCAATCCCCAATCCCCAATCCAAGCGGAACACTCACCCAAAAAAAAGGTTTCGATGATGGTTGCGGCAAGGGGTCTCCCCTATCCCGGCTTAGCCAATTGGATGCGTATGCTTGAAGACGGGCAGCGGCGGCATGCGCGAGTCCCAGATGAATAGATAGTACATGGCCAGCGTTAGGCCCATGCCGCTGACGCCGCCCATATAGAGGATTAGGGTGAGGAGCCGGAATGTTTTCGATTCGAAGAAATCATCCGATTTGGGCACGGGAATCTCCTCGTCCTTGGCCTCCTTGACCACAGCGGCCAGGTTGGTCAACATTGACGACGACGCCATACTCTCCCTCTATATATATGTATATATATAGGTGTAGATATATATTTGTAACTGTGTTTAACCCCAACGAGAAACCGTTCGAATCTGCGGTCTTCCACGGCTTGGCGTCTCTGGAGGCGAACTGAATGGCGGCGGGCGCTTGACGTTGCGCTTTGCCACATTTGCTGTGTGTTTTGCGGTTTACACTGCTGCTTCTTCTTCCTCTTCTTCTTCTTCTTCTTTTCCTGCTGCTTCTTCTTTCTGCTCTCTGCTTCTGGTCGAGCGATTTGGGCACTGCCCTCAGGTCCGAGCCGGGGCAGCGTCTTGACCGCCACGCTAATAAGATTCACACCTCCACCCGCTGCCTGTACATACCCCCTTCCTTGCCCCTCCCCCCTTCACCAACCTCTTGTGCCACCTGGTGAGCCACATAACGTGCGCTATTCTTTGGCCACTTGACCTGGTTTGATTTGTTGTCAACGTTGCGACGTCATTTATTTTGTATACCCTGTACCCAGCAAAGGCGCTTAAGTAAGGGTATATTGATCATGTGAGAGGCTATGCAACAGGCAGAAGGTGGCATCTGCGCCTTCATTAAGGACATTTCCCAGCGCTCAGAAAAACTAGACTTCAGATTTGGCATATATCTTTTCCATACTTCTCGTTTTTTTTTTTAACATGCAAACAGCAGCAAAAGCGCATGTTAAAGTGCATGTTAACTTTGATGCGAAAAACTCTACTTCAAATTTCTTACTTCTCTTTTGTTTAACAGCCGAAGCGCTTGAAAACGTGTTTGTTAACGTTGATGCGAAAAACCAGACTTCAAAGTTGGCATATATCCTTTCCTTACTTCTCTTTTTTCTAACATACGAACATAGACACATTAACCGCATGTTAAAGTGTCTGTTAACTTATATGCAAAAAGTAAATTTTAAATTGGGAATATATCCTTTCCTTGTCCCTTTTCTTTTTGTAACGGCCAAAGTGCATGTTAAAGTGCCTGTTAAATTTGATGCGATAGTCAAATCTAGCAACCCTGAGCTACGTTTTGTGTTGAAGTCTTGCATATGTTTGGAATGTTCTCTACTTTTAATTAAAGATAAGGTTTCTGGCATTTATTGAATTATTGTAGGGTATGTGCTCGTCTAGCAGCTCAGTTTGTTGTTGGCAAATCCAATTAGAAAACACGACAGTCGTAAGTTCTGTGTGTGTGCTTTTTCGCTCAAGGGTATGGGCTAATGTGTGTTTGTGTGAAATGGCGGTGGGGTAGCTCGGCTGGGACTCACCTCTTGGTACTCATGCACCTTCTGCACCGGCTGACCGCCAATTGAGACGGGAAACCTGAGATGAATGTCCGGCATGCCGGAGTCAAAGAAGATGAGATAGTATAGGGCCAGCGCCATGCCCAGGCCACTGATGCCGCTTAGATAGATGACAATGGAGATCAGGCGAAAGGTTCTCGACTCGAAGAACGCCGACGTCGGCTGCTCCTTGGGCAGACGCACATCGTCCGCCAGCGGATCGGGCGAGCCAGTGCTTGCGGCCGCGCTTGCCATCGCAACTGGGCCCGTTCCATGGCGGCGTCGCTGTACTTAAGGCGATGCCAATTATGCAAATGAGCGGGCGGATAATAGTTTAAATGCCAACTGACAGCCGGATTGACACTGACACTGACACTGATTGATCGTGATTGATGTGCGACTTATTGCAGGCACTGTGGCGAAATGCGGCAAGCCGGCCGCATGCCGGGAATACAGCTTCGAGGAGGCGATCACACTGACCGGTGTCGGACGGTTCCACCTGAAGCTGCTGCTCATCTGCGGACTGTGCTTCATGGCCGTCATGGTGGAGATAATGGGCGTCAGCCTGATCCTGCCGCTGGTCAAGTGCGATCTGATGGCCACGCTCGAACAGCAGGGCATATTGGCCTCCTCCGGTTTTCTGGGCGTGGTGCTCAGCTCGCACGCGATGGGCTTCCTGGCGGATACCTGGGGCCGTGTGGCCACGCTGCGCTACGCGATACTGTTCAGCGCCATCTGCTCGGTGGTGTCCGCCTTTTCGGTTAACATTTGGATGCTGATTGTGTTCCGCTTCCTCACGGGCTTCTTCATCTCCGGCGGACAGGCGTGCGTGTTCAGCCTGTGCGGTGAGTTCCATGGCAACAAGTCGCGTGTTCGCCACGTGACGCTCCTCTCCTGCTTCATGTGCATTGCCATGATGTTTGCACCAGGTAGGTCCACGGCTCAACAGTTCGAACAGTAGCGAAGCCTTTGCTAATCCTCCTACTCTTCCTTCTCCCTGCTTGGTCCTGCCTGCTCTCGCAGCTGTGGCCATTGGCATTCTGCCACTCCAGCTGAAGGGCTCGCTGCTGGGCTTGAGGCTCTCCTCGTGGCGTGTGTTCCTCATCGCGGATGTCTCCGTGTCTGTGCTGGCGCTGCTGGGTCTCTTCCTGCTGCCCGAGACGCCCAAGTATCTGCTCGTCCAGGGTCGTGTCGACGAGGCGCTCGCAACGCTGCGCCGCATCTACGCCTCGAACTCGGGCCGACCCTCGGCCGAGTATCCAGTGCAGCGTTTGGCCACGCAGAGCGGCGGCGCCAGCTTGTCCAGTGTGCACGGCTTCTGTGATGCAGTGCATCTCATCTGGCAGCAGACAGTGCCGCTCTTCTATCGCACCCGAGTGCTGCACACACTTAACATCTGCATTATACAGTTTCTCATCTACGGCATCGCCCAGGGCTTCTTCATGTGGTTCCCCACCATACTCAACGAGCTGGGCAAGGAGAGCGCCCAGGGCTCGCTGCTCTGCACCGTGCTCCAGGGCTTCAACGCCGCTGGCGAGACATCCGTGGACGGCAGCTGTATTATGACCGCCGACATCAATACCTACCAGGTGATGATCACCATTGGCGGCGCCTTCACCATCATCTACTTGATATTCGCCTACACCATTGATCTGATTGGCAAGCGGAATCTATTGAGTGAGTATTTTGCGCAAGACAGATCCTCGCCAGACTTGACCTCGCGCCTCTCTCTCGCTCACCTTGCAGTTGGCTGGATGCTGCTCACGATTGTCTGCCTGGCCCTGCTCCACTGGCTGCGGAACTTCGCCCTGGTGGTGATCGCCCTGACTTTGGCCATGGCCATCGGCAACTGCGGCGGCCTGGTCAGCACCATTGCGATGGACTTCTATCCGACGCAGATAAACGCGATGGGCATGTGCTTCATCATGATGGTGGGCCGCCTGGGCGCCGTCGTCGGCAGCAATCTGCTGGGCCGGCTCATGTTCAGCAGCTGCGAGGCCAGCTTCTGGGCCGTGCTCGTCCTGGTCGTGGTGCTCAGCGTGATGGCATACTTTCTGCCCGATCAGGCCAGGCCCAAGGCCAGGCGGCAATCCTCAGCTGCCGCCGCCGCCGCTGCCGACAGCCAGGAAATTAGCTCTAAGTAACTGTAGCCCCTACTATCTAACTATGTAGTTGTAAAAAAAAAAGAAAAACAACAACAAACAAAAAACTAGATGAATTCTACATGGAACGGGAACGTCAATGGGAACGGGTATGAGAATGGCACCGAGCTGGGGGAACTGGAACGGGCACGGGAACAGGAACGGGAACGGGAACGGGAACGGGAACGGGAACGGGAACGAGAGCAATTGCATTGGAAATGGATTAAGTAAATGTTTGTGCTCATTTCTACAGTTGTTGTTCTATTATACCCTGTAAGCCGAATGTGCGGCTGGATGGGGTATATTCAGTCGAGCGAAGTTTTTGTAACAAACAATCTTTTCTTCTTCAAAATCAGTTTTGAGCAGGTTTTTTATTGAAACAAATGGAACTAGAAAGTATTGCCCACAGAATTCCGACTAAATCCTATCAAAATCCTCTGCAAAACGGGGAAAACTTAAGTTGCTTGATCCTGAGTGCGGGAGGGTTTCACTTTAATCTAGTCCAAATAAATACATATATATACATAATTTTTTTAAGAGAAATGTGATGTATACTATAATGTGTTAACAGGGTATATCATGATGCATGAAAAATCTACGTATTAATTTAAAACTCTTAGTTAAGCAATGGGTATCTCGCAGTCGTGCACACAAGCCTGGAGCCTTTGCTGTTGTCGTCAAAGTTGTCATTGCCGATAGCTGCATATAGGGTATATCATGTGATATGCATATGGAAATGTTAAGAATTAAGCTCTGAACTCTTGAAGTATGCAAAACACGAGGCATGCACCATGAACCCAGAAGCTAGGTATTCATTTCAGGCTCTTACTAAAGCAATGGGTATCTCACAGTCGTGCACCCAAGCCTTGAGCTGTTGTCATTGCCGATAGCTGCTGCAGCTGCATTAACATTCTTGACATTGCCTCGCTGTCTGTGTGTGTCTGTGTGCGCTTGTGTACTTGTGTCGTGGGGAGGCAGAGTGGCAGAGTGGCTCTTGGGGCGGCACAGAGTCGCCTCTAAACGCATTCCAGCCGCATCGCCGCATCGTCGGATAGCCGCATCTGCAATCGTAAGTACGCTGTTTATTTATACAGTGAACGGTGTTTGCACCACAGTCTGAGCGATCTCTGCCGAGTTTGAAGAGTCCGAAGAGTCCGCCCCAGCTGCCAATCATAAATACAAGTACGTAACACACACGTTGTCATTGCCAGGCGGCATCTGGCATCGGGACCAGCCTAACTGCGCATTTGTCGACTTATATGGCATAGACAGATAACCAAATAACAACTGCCAGTCCCAGTCCCAGTCCCAGTCCCAGTCCCAGTCCCAGTCATAGTCCCACTGCCCGTGCCCGAGCCCGTGCCAGTTCCATTAGCCAGTTCCGTTGCACAGTGGAGCAATTCAAACAACTTGCCGGCGCACAGTGGGCCCTACAGAAAAAATTTGTTGCAGCAATGTTATCTCAATCCGAACAAAAAGGCCAAGAAAAGCTCCATATTAATTATGCCCTATAAAATGGGTCGAATGGACATCCGTTCTGTATATAAAAGCTATTTCGTCTCACTTATTGACTGCCTGATTGACTGACTGATTGTCTGATTGACTGATTAACTAGACAATCAATCCGAAAAAGGGCCAAGAAAAACTTCAAGTCAATTATTCCCTACAAAATACAAAATGGGTCGAATAGAAATCCGTTCTGTATATGTTATATAAACTATTTCTGTCTGATTGACTTACTGATTGTCTGATTGACTGATTAACTATCACCATCATTGTTCACCATCAATCAATGAGTATAATGAAATTGCTAAGCATCTCTTATATATTTTTAATTTATTCTCTATTTTTATTCTCTTTATCGTCATCAATCAGTTTTAATATCATCTCCTATAAATCTTCTATCTTCAATTCACTAATTCATCTTGTATCCATCAGCCCTTTATCATCGTCAATCAATAAATAATACCCATCCTTTATCCATCCTATATCTGACTTCTCTTTATCATCACTGAATAGCATTCACATTCTATCTTTATTCTCTTAATCGTCATCAATCAGTCTTCTAATCCTCTTCTACAAATCTTCCCCTAATCATCATCAATCATTATCAATCAATAAGTAAAGCTCACTTTCCACCAATATTCTACCCGTCTTTTATCTATCTTTAACCCATCTTATATAGTATATATTTTTTCTCTATTCTTTGTGCTCTATTTATCTTCTATCGCTTTTCGCTTTATCATCATCAATCAGTCTTCTCATTCTCTTCTTCCATCTTCAATCCATCTTTCGTTTATAATCATCAATCATCATAGATCTATAAGTAGAGCTCTATCCTTATCCATCTCATATATATTTTTCTCTAGCTCTCTTCTCTGTGTGGTCATCAATCATCATCAATCATGCTACCCAATTTCTATCTATCTATAATCGATCTTCTATCTATCTTAAATTTATCTTCTATCTTCTATGTATGGTATATTTTTACAACTTCCATCTAGCTTATATCGTGTGCTTCATCAAGCTAACCTATACCGCAATACATCTATATCTGCATCTTATAGACTGTACCACATGTCTCTGCCCCTACTTCTTTCACCTCCCCCTTCCCTCGCCACCACTCTGTTTTTTGTGGGCCATGATTGCTTTCTGTGGGGCGTGTCTGTGTGGCATGTGCATCTGTTGAGTGTGGGCCGCCAGAGCACTAATGTCGCGGCAATTAAGGAGCAGCAACTGTCGTTCATCAATCATGGCAACCAGGTAGAAGGGACTGCCGACTGGGGTTCGCGTATGTTGACCCACAATGGGCCACAAATTAGGCGGCAAGTGTGTGTGTGTGATGTGTGTGGTGCGGCTGCTATGCAAATAGAGAGACAAGTGCCAGCAATTTGGGGTACTGGGCAGAAGAAGCAGGTGGCGCTCGTCTACGTTGACTGACTGCTAACTGGGCAACAAGCACGACAGCAACAACATCTTGAAGAGGACGCCCCACAAGCGACGTGCCGTGAAATAAAATCAGAGATAAAAGTCGCACGTCCAAATGGAGCAGCATCAACTGGCTAAGAGCAACGGCAACGGCAACTGGCAAATGGCAAAAATAGCTAAATAGTCGACTTAGGCAAATTGGCACGAGGCGATCGCAATGCCAACTGGCAACTGGCAACTGGCAACTGGCAACCGGCAACTGGCAACCGGCAACTGGCCAGTGGAGCAGCAATCGGAGCAGCAACTGACGGCAGGTGAGTTGAGGAATTACAATGATGCGATGCCAGTCATAGAACGAGGCGACGTTAATAGATTTACACGCCAACTGAAACAAGCCAGAAATGAAAGACAACAACTACAGCAACAACACGGCAGCAACAACACGGCAGCAACAACACGGCAGCAACAACACGGCAGCAACTGTTGCTGATGATGCCAAATTGAAAAGTAGACTGCGCATGCGTGGAATGGCAATGAGAATGAGCACAGAATCAAACGCAGAACAACTGACAAAACACACAACGAACAACGAACAACGAACTGTGCAACTCTGCAACTCTGCAACTGTGCAACTGTTGCAGCTAAACAGTTGCCACAGCATACAGTTGCCGTTGATGAGCACAGCAGACCAACAGTTGCCCCGGGCAGCGGCAACATTGTTGCCCAGTTGCCCAGTTGCCTAGCTTGCCCCTGTGTTGCACGGCTCGCCCATGTAGAGCTAATGAAGCGAGCGGATGCGGCGCTTAGACGCAGCAATCAATTGTCTTATACTGTCTGGCAACTCTGTTCAAATGTGCTTGGATATACGCCTTATAATAGAGGCACTTTATAAAGGTAATACAAATAATAACTATGCAAAATAAATGATTATTATATACATAAATATTATGTTTATATATATATATACATATAGAATATCATATCATCAAGTATAATTATATGTCTACATACATTGGCAAGGGAATCACACATTATTTAGTTAGCATATCGATATCACATTAAAGATAATGCTTCAGCATCATATTCAGTTTATTAGTAAAGCTTTTGATAAATACTGTTATTTGTATGATGTATGGCAACCCTTTGAAATAAATAGAAAAAACCTGAAAAGTAATTTAGCCTAAGGGCACAACAAAGAAAATATCTGATAAAAAGGAACTTCCATGCAAATACTATATCGCCGTTAATCACAATTTTTCGTATACTTAATTAAGATTTTCGTTATAATTTTTCTTTTATTTTCATGAACATTTTCTAACCAACATACACCAAAAGCTATCAATTTTTGTAAATACATATTCAAAATCCGCAAAATCCATCCATAAAATAAAAACAGGAACTGTTTATGCTGCATTACAAATTCTTTAAAAAACATAATTCGGCTTACATACTATATGCAGGCCTAAGTGGAACAAAATAAGTAGACACTATGGCTTTGCAAGTGTTGCCACCTAGCCAAACATAAAGAGGAAGAAAGATCTTACAAAATGACAGTTGTTATCTGGCAGTTCATAACGGGCATTGCCTGCTGCGTACAGGGACATTGCGGTATGTGTATATCGCAAGATGAGCATGTATGTCTGTGTGTGTGAGTCGCATAAACAAGGTTGGTGACGAGGACGCAGACAAAGACGAAAGCGTAGACGCAGACGACGTCGACGCCCGCCAAGTCAAACGTTATTTAATCAGAATCGCAAAGGCAAAGGCACAGCCAGAGAGACAGACAGAGAGAAATAACTGGCCAGCAGACGTCTCAGCAGCGTCTGTAGCAAAACAGCAACAACGACAGGTGCCTGGCAGCGACGGCGACGGCGACGGCGGCAGCGACTGCTTGAAAAATGCAGCAAGAAATAAAAGCTGGCGTGTGGAGTATGCGAACGCGGCGGCCAATCAATTCTGAGAAATGAAAACGCCGTCTTCGGCATCGGCTGTTGTTCTTGTTGTTGCTGTTGTTGTTGTTGTTGCTGTTGTTGTTGTTGTTGTTGTTGCTGGCACAATTGTGCGATGGCTGCCAG